TGTTTGCAACTTGAAATTTTTGGGCTAATTGAGTTTGGAAGAGGGAAACACTATCGATGAATGATTTGTCATGTTGTACTAGATGGTTAGATTCAAGGTATGATTTTGAACATTTTAGCTTACGTTTTAAAGTTTTTATAATTTGTGAACAAATAGATAGATATATACTTTTCATATTTTAAACTTATAACTCTCTTATAACACTCCGATGAAGATCTTGCAAAAAAAAAAGATTTTGCTTTTAGTATTCTTCAGAATAGATGAATATTTATTTCTACCGTTTCAATATGTATCATGAATGCATTAGAAAGCCTGATTATGAGACCGGTCCTCCCAGAAAAGATTCGGCCCAACCCAAAAAAGCCCATTAGACCTGGCCCGTTAATGTCTAAAAGTAAAGAGTAAACATCCAAAAGTAACATAGCCAACACGAGAGAAACCACATCAACATAGTCATGAACTTTAGTTTTAAGCAACTTGAACCCAAAATTTGCTTTCATTCTCTATCTATGACTCGAAAACACCACAAATTCAACCAAAAAATCGAGCACATAAAGCATCACTAAAACAATTTGGCCCCTAAACCACACAGAAAACAACAACATTATGATAATACATCCTTTCACCTCCTCAAAAGCTTGTGGGAGAAAATCCTCTTCGAATACGGGCTGTTCCTTGAGATTGCTTTGTGGGATTCAATCGCATTCACCAATGCATTATGAAGCTGACCCTGCATCCAAATTTTAGCCAAATCTAAAATTTGTTTCTTTATTATGGAATCTTACTTTCATGACACTACTATAAATAGGTAGATTTTCAAAATACAATGCTATAATAAAAAAAGAAAAAAATAGAAATATGCTTATTACGGACCTCAGAAACGCGAAGAGCGGTTTGAACAACATAGTTGGCATGTGGATCTTGAAGCACTTGTTCAAAATGAGTGGCTGAGATCAACTCACGGATGATGGTTGACCTGATTTGACCATCTAACACTGCTAAACATTTCTCCACCACATGGCTGCTGAATTTTTGTGTTGCAAGATGCACGTAGTTTCCCTCAAACTGTGAGATAAGCTTCGACACAGCTGAAGGAATCTGCAGTTCCAGAATATACTGTACAACATAGTTTCTGCAAAAAAGTATCAACATACTTTCATCAATTTGTTTATTATTGTTATTATAGCATCCTACTCTCATTTATTTCCATTACAACATTGTAATTTAAGAGATCCTCTACCAATTATTACAACATTAACATGCCATCCAAATACAAATCAATTTTTACTGTTGTAACAAGTGTTAAAATTTTTTAAGTACAATGTTGTAACCTTTTTTTTTTTTTTAAAGTAGAATGTTATAATAGAAAGAAATGAAGGTGTGACATTAAAATGTACAAATAAATACAATTAGGTTGCTATTTCTTGTATTTGGACTTACCCAAAAGCATCTTGTGCTAGAAGAAGTCCATTTACTGAAATTTCAGAGACTAATTTTTCTCGATGCTCGCCGGTTGAGTGATTTATGCATCTTTGCAACACGCAACAACCGTGTTGATGTGTGGCAATTTCAACACAATGTTTTGCAGCAGCTTCAAAGATGAACTGTGATCAATCAAGAACCATATGAAGTTTACACAAAACGGTTTTTTTTTTTTTTTTGCCATGTCATCATGCTAGCCTAGTACATGTCATGCCATGTCAGCATGATCACACTTCACAACCTTTCAATAAGTATGTTGCAAGAAATCATGATATATATGTATAAACTCGTAAAGTAAACCTAAGATTCATCAAGAAAATCCAAACCTTATTATCTTCATTACTGAGGCACTGTAAGCAACGCTGAATGACGTGATTACCATTAAGATCCTTTATAAGAGCAAGAAACCCGGGTTCAAGAGCCGAAACCACAAGCTTGATTTGTTGCCTTGTCTTGAGAGTCTCGATAAGTTTCTGTACAACTCGAGTTCTATAAAAAGAAGATGAAAATTTTAGATTCCTTGAAGGATAGAAGTTAGAACGCAACATTAAATCGAAGAAAGCAGATTTTATTAAGATTACCCATGAGTGTTCAACGAAATTTGAACAAGTTCCCTCGGTTCACGAGTGATTGCCATCAAAATTTGCATTCGTTGTTCTTCGTTACACACTTCCAGAAGCTTCTGCATAAGGTAATTCCCAAAAGGGTTGATCATAAGCTCGATTACATGTCCGATTATCTCATTAAATACAATCTGCACATGTTGTGAATTTCCATCATCGAAAATCTTTTGGAGAAGACGACACCCATGTTGGTCTTTAGCCATCATAAAAATGTATCTTTGAGCTTCGGGCAAATGAGAAGAACACGATAAATAAACCTTGGTTCGGCCATTTTCACAAGGGCTTTCAAACCTTTTGCTTCTAGCACGACTTAAATCTTCACCTTGAATGATCAAACTATCGTCACTAGCTGATAAACCGGGCCCACCACGGGCGATTCTAATATTCGGTGAGCCACCGGCTGCCATGTGGTGGAACCGATGGGCGCCATGGTTAGTGTTACCCTTAGCTTTTGGACCGGTCTTCCCAATTTGAGCTGGAATTCCCCATTGATAACAATAATTTGTCACACTCCTATCGAAATTTGAAGATTGGGTAGAGGGAACTACCCCGTAATTTTGCTGAAAACCGAAGAATGCTGGATGGATTTCAGTATCAGGGGTTATGGGGGTTCTCGGAAAATGAGGGGTAATTGCAAGATAGTCATCAGAAGCCCCAAATTTAGTGGAATTGATGCGATCCTGGTTGATATACAGTCTACCAAGTTCATCAATCAAATTTTCATCAGGATTTCTTGAGATGATGTGCGGATTGGGGATGGGATCATGTAATGTAGGAATAGTTGATGATGATGAAGGTGATGATGATGTATCAGATGATGAATGGGAATGGGCATTGTAGAACATGCTTGGAAAGGCAGTAGCAGGGGGGGTATATGTATTCTGGTTGTAACTAGATGATGAATCATCATCATCATCATAAATACCATACAACATCCTATTCATTGTTGGAGCGACAAAAGAGGGGTTACCGTGAGGATTACCATTGACAACATGATGATGATGGTGATGATGATGATGGGCATTGGCGTATGATGGATGATGGTGAAGGGAAAGTGATGATGTTGCATGAGGGATCTCACCCAACAACATTTCAAGTTCTTGATCCTCCATATTCTCAATAATCCCAACTCTCTCAACCATCATCAATAAACACAAAGTGTACAACAACAAAAACAGGGAAATCAAGAAATCTTGAAAACAACAAAAAAAAAGGCTATAAAAACTAGAAATTTAAAGCACCCACATCAAGAAAATGATCAAGAAACACAGGAAACGGAAAACCCATAACAAAATTACCCCCTTCTTTCATCTGGGTTTGGCTTGAAACAATCAAGGAATCCGATTGTAGATGTGGGTTTTATTAGGTGATGATACAATCATGATCATCATATTTCATTTTGGTTTTTGGGAAATTTTGATCTTTGGGAACGAGTTTGGTGAAGCATGCAAAGATGAAGGATTTTATACACATACTGTATGTATAGGTGATGGTAGTGTACACACTGGCTTACTGGTAAGGTCTCACGCCATAAAAGCTGGAGAGAGGAACAGACTCTCACTCATCTCTCTTCATTACTTTCTCTCTCTAGAATACACATATATATAGTGAGAGAGCGAGAGAGTGAAAATTCAGCAGAAAAAAAAAACCTCATAAAACCACTTGGCGATTCAGAATGTCTTTTATGATTATACATGCCCTTTAAAACATGAATTCCAAACCCATATTTATATTTGATAAATTAGGGATTTTTTTTTATTTTCTTTTTTATCATTGACGTTTTCTAATGGGTTCTAATTATTATGTAAGAATCTTGAAATAACAAACTTTCAGGAATTTCTCCATTTCTAAGGGCTGAAATATCTAGTAAAAAGAATTTTGACTGTATCTTTTTAATGACTAAAATGCCCTTGAGCTGAATGAAATATATGCCCCTCTCTAATGACGTGTTGAAATGGTTTAAATGTCATTATTATTCACACAATGCTACATCATTGCAATCTTTAATAATAAAATTTTGAGCGAATTACACATTTAGAGCATGTCGTTTGTCAAAATTCACAAATTTGGCCCCAATATTGGTTTTTTAAGATGATTGATCCCTAATATTTTGCATTTGTTGCACCGATGGTGTTTAGCCCATATAAAAATATCATTTTACCTTTTTTTTACCAAGGTTGTAAAAATCGTTCGACGTTAGCTAGTTAGTGGACCGAGGTTAAGGGATTAATCGGTTAGGCGGAGATTAATCGGGGACCATTAATTGCTAATTTGTTATATTTTAAAAAATTTAATAGTACTAATATCATATAAAAGTTCATAAATATCACTAATATCATAACAGAATAGGTTAATATGATAAATACAACACTACTCATACCTCAAATAGTTTCTATTGAGATATAACTTCTTCAAAGTGTTAAAATTTCATCGGATTCTACTGTTTCAGTCATTTTGTATGTATGGATTAATCGCTAGGCGCTCTCTAATCAGTCAAGTAGCGCCTAGGGATTAATCGGGACCTACTCGGGATTTTTATAACGTTGTTTTTTACTATTATTTCCTCTTCTTTTTAGTTATTTATATATTTTAGACAAAATTGCAAAAATGGTCCTTGTGGTATGCTTTCTTTGGGGGTTTCAGTCAAAACCTCGACTTTTTTGGATTCATGGTCCTTTTGGCCTAGTTTGTACGCAAAATTGGTCCCCCGACTTAACTGCCATTAAGTTTTTGCTGTTAACCTCCTCGTGTGCATCTCACATGAGGGTATATTTGTCTTTTCACTTCTAAAGGACTATTTTTGCACCTTTAAAAAAGTAATACCTTTAAATTTATTTTAATAATGAAAAAATAAAAGATCTCTCTCTCTCTCTCTCTCTCTCTCTCCAACCTTCCCCACAATTAGGAATCGATATCACCAGGTGCTGCTCCAGCTTCATTTCTTCACCACTTCAGCTAGCTCAAACCACATCACCTGTGAACACTCAGAAGTTCAATCAATCAAAAACCCATTATGAAGAAATTACACTCAGCCTTCAGATTCTACGAAAATTCCCTACATTTGAAGCTTTGAATACTTTAAATTCGGTCAAGGGTTTTTCATATAAACAACTTTGCCTTCTGTTACCCATATGCATTTACGCTCCATCTTCTTCCTCAACCAGTCGTTGAAACGAGACCATCGACCATCATATTCTTCAGCCACCTCTTCCCCTGCTCAAGCACTTCGTTCGCTATTCCACCGACGTCGATGTTGTCGGATTCATCCTCCGCGTCGTCGTCTTCCTCAGGTGGGTTCTTTAATTTAACAACAAGATGTTGGTTATCGATTGGGTTAATTTCACAAAATCAGAATTGATTTCTACTTTGCTGTTTGCTATCGATTGATTGTCAATTTGTTCTCATTCTATTGATTTCTTCCGATTCTTCCAAATCGAGGGTCCGATCTTTGATAAACTTCTGATTATGTCGCCTTTTTCTCTGCTTTGAAGAACAAAGTGAATGTTCATAGAGTGGTTGCTCTTCGTGAAGCATTCATGTTGTTCGATTTTGAGGATGATAGTATATAGGACTTGAAGTTAATGCTCATCAGATGCTTAATATCCCCATTATATTTGAAAATGGGTTAAGAAAGATGATTTTTAACATTCTTATTTAGGTTATCTAGACAACTGGTGAAGGAATCACTAGCAATGATTAGGTCTCAAATTCCTTTCGGGAGGAAGTCGATGTTGGAGGCATATGTTGACATCGTTTTTAGGGCTTGGAAGGCTGCAAATGGGGAGACAAGAGAAGAGATAAGTTAGAGGCATATGCAGGCATTGGTTGATAGCTCAACTCATGAGCAAGGTTATTGAGATAAGTTTTGCTTCGTGATTGAAATTGGATTGCACATGTTCTTCTAGTAGATACTTCAAAGTGAAGTGGATAATGGGCATGGTGTTTAGTTTTGAACTTAGGCAGCTAAGAAATCTTTATGCAGACGTTTTATGTAAACAGAAGCACTATTACATATCCTTGTATATGAATGTGAAAACTGATTTGTATATGAAGAGGAGGGATAACATCATAACGTCATCTGTGACTGTGTGCTTTTGAGAGAGAGAGAGAGAGAGAGGTCTTTTATTTTTTCATTATTAAAATAAATAAAAAATTAATACTGTAAAAAAAATTAGGTGCAAAAATGGTCCTTTAGAAGTGAAAAGACAAATATACCCTCATGTGAGATGCACATAAGGAGGTTAACAACAAAAACTTAACGATAGTTAAGTCGGGGGACCAATTTTGCGTACAAATTAGGCCAAAAGGACCATAAATCCAAAAAAGTTGAGGTTTAGACTGAAACCCCCCAAAAAAATACATACCACAGGGACCATTTTTGCAATTTTGTCAATATTTTAATAGACAAAACTGCACAAATGGTCCCTGTGGTTTGTTGAAAATTATCACTTTAGTCCAAAAAGGTTTGAACTAACACCACAGGTCCAAAGTTTTTATTTTCGTACAAGTTTGGTCCAATTTACTTTAAACTTTTTTACAATAATGATTTTGCCCTTAATTTTTGTTTTTTCAGTTTTTTTTATTTATCTAAATAATTTTTCGATTAAAATAAAAACAAAAAGAAATCTCTCTCTCTCTCTCTAATCTTCTCCGTTTAAACCCTAGAAAATTCTCCTATTTGCAAATTAATTTAGCCATGGAGTAAACAAACCTGTAAAAAAAATAATTTTGCCAAAGATCAAACAAACCTACAACGTGAAATCGTTGAGATAAGAGAGAGAGAGAGAGAGAGAGAGAGAGAGAGAGAGAGATGTACAAAGGCAGATTAAGAGGGATGACTCTCTTTTCCAGTTATGTGGTAAACCCTAGAATTGTAAATCCACTCACCCATGCTACAACAGGTATGAACAACCTTTGATTTCAATATTTTGTTGTCTTGTTTTCTAAATTGGGTTTTTAATTTTTTGCTTTTTATGTTGCTAGATCAAACCTGATCCAACTTGATCACTAGAACCTATGATAAAATCCTCTCTCTTGGTATGCTCCAAAACATCACAAGAATTCTGAGTGTGCAAAATTTCTTATGAAACTTCAAACCACAACAACACTTCAAGTTCTGTTCATCTACATCTGTTTCACCTCACACTGAAAAACAATCTTCACATAATTCTTTGGTTTCTGCCATTTTTTGTGATTTGGGTAGAAACCTAGGATGAAACCTTTTTGGAATGTAGTTTGCAGAGAAAATCGTTGTAGAATTGACTTTTTTGGGTTCTAAGAAGCGGTGGACAACAAGAAGGATGGTTTTTTAGGGCAACTAATCGAGTGGCTTCTTCAACAAGTTGAATTCACCATCATCGCCGCCACCAACACCGGTGCAATCCATACGAACTTCACTTCACCCAATATCACACTCCGAAAATCCGGTTCCAGCATGCCAGTTCCTTCACAACTTCGATTCGGTGATTTTTTTATGGGAACTGGGTTATCCTCATCAGAAAATAGTAACCTAACCTTTTCAGTTTTGGCAACAAATCTTCACCAGATATGCACCACAGAGTAGTCAGATTCCTGAGTGCTTTATTTGGTACAAGCTTTTTGTGAAGAGGTTTTCTGGATTTCAGACATGAACAAGGGTGCTCTTTGATCCATCTTCAAAGAAAAAGTATACAGAAGTAAAGTGTTCTTGTGGAGAGAGAGAGAGAGAGAGAGAGAGAGCGATTTCTTTTTTACTTTTCTTTTAATCGAAAAATTATTTAGATAAATAAAAAAACTGAAAAAAAAAAACAAAAATTAAGGGTAAAATCTTCATTGTAAAAAAGTTTAAAGTAAATTGGACCAAACTTGCAAGAAAATGAAAACTTTGGACCTGTAATGTTAGTCCAAACCTTTTTGGACCAAAGTGGCAATTTTTAACAAACCACAGGGACCATTTGTGCAATTTTTTCATTTTAATAATAAAAAGTAATATAAATCACCCACCCTCACATATCTCTCTCGCTCTCTCTCTCTCTCTCTCTCACTCTCTCTCTCTCCGTATATTTGTCTCGTTAAAAACCCCAAAATATGTACAATGCAATGTGGGAGTTGTGCTCCAACAAGACCCGAGCCTTAGCATTAGACACATTATCGATGATAATCAAGCTATAATGGATTCTTTTTAAGTTTCTAATTGAATGCGGATACTCACAAGAATGGTAAGAGAGTGGCACATCAGTTAGCTAAAGTATCCATTTAATCATCATGGATGGGGAAAATATGGTTATTGGAGTTTCAGGAATCTAATAAGTAGTCATTCTATGTAAAGTTAGCTAGTATGAATTTGCAGAAACTTTTAATATTATCGGGCTCAACAAACCACCAGAAGTTATATATTTCGTCTCTTGCTACCAAACAACCTATTGCTATTGACAATAATCGGTTATCGAGATGAAAAGGCTTTTGTTTTTACATGTTAGTCGGTTATCAAGATGAAAAGGATTTACTTTTTACATGTTAGCTCATGAATCATGTGTCTGGCAAGATGCAAAGGCTTTCCTTTTTACATGTCAACTCGATGAACCGTATGTTTATCAATGTTTATACAATATGCATAGATGGCTTAAACGTAGAGCATGTTACGACTTGTACATATGCAGAAATCGCTTGTATGTTACTGGTTTGATTGTGAAAAAACTTTTTGAAATGAAATCTCTCATCGAGATAATTATGGTATTGACTTGCTTGCTCAATAGGGAAATCATGTTGGTCTTCAAACACATTATTGGTTTGTGTTTTTGGTCATAAGGAAACATCAAATTAATGCTTGAGTCCATCTTGAAATTATTAGTAATTAGGGTTTAGGCCCCAAGTTTCTTAGGGTTTAGGTTAGACCATTTTTTTATCTTTATTTATATGAGGTTTAACCCTCGTTGCTACGTAGTCTCACCAGGTACGTTGTAGTTGGTTAGTGATAGTCATCTCTAATGAGCACTCTAGTATACGCATTGTAAAAAACAGACAAATACTTGGTTAGAATGCTATGATGAGGGATGAACCCCGACATTACTCTCCGATACCTAAATCAGATGTTGATTTGAGGGTTATGAGAAAAATTGTTTGTCCTCGGAAAGTATATCTTACCTGTTTTATGCATGCTTAGTCCCCTTTTATACATGCTAGTCGTTTTGGTTCATTGCCTTTCTAACTAGGTGTTGCTTATGTCTAATGGTTGCAAAGGGTAGAACCCTTCAATATAATAATATTTCTTTTTCCATATTTCACAAGATGTTGCCTAGGGATTCATATGGAAGATTCCATTGTCATAGTTTTTTTGCTGCTCGACATGTTCGGTTGGTTTTTATTGTTGACTATCTACCCGTATATGTGTTTGTGATGGGTTTTGAGCAAAACATCAATCCTATGGTGTACATGCAAACCCTAAAGCTTTGGATCTAGTTTTTCTAATAAACATGCAATAATCATCTAAAGCTCATAAACCCTAGATCTAGCATACAATAATCGATATTATCATAATAAAAGGGTTTAGATATTAACTTGATTTTTATGTAGCAATAACAATCTCAATTTCTCTTGATCTTGACTCTTGAAAGCTTAGTGACTCAAATGTTGCACCTCTAATGGAGTCACAAACACCATGAGCAACAAGATGACTTATGAGAAGTAGGAGGAACACCAAAAACATCCAAGATCTACTAGAGAATGTTTAGCCACGTTTTTGGGAGCCCTAGGGGTCCTTTTATACTTGTGTGGGCTGCTAGGGTTTCAGGTGAAACCCTTATTCTCTGCTTAGGCCTTAAGCAACTGATGGAGTCCCTTTAGAAAGCCCTTGGACGAAATCCATATGTAGAGATGGCAAAAAAAAAACCGTACCCAACAGGTACCCAAAACCCTAAACCGAGTTAAACCGGGTAAATCCCCGAGTTGACCGGGGATGGGGACGGGGATGGGTATTACCCGAATATAAAAAATGGGGATGGGGATGGAGATGGTTCTACATGTCGAGTACCCATACCCGTACTTGAAACCGGCCCCAATTGGTACCCGATATATATAGTATTAATTATGTTTTTATTTTTAATAATGCATAAGCAAATGTTCAGTAGAAAAAATAAGGTTTTCTAACAATCAAAAGTATAGTTTTGGGAAGAATTTTAATGTTTTTTTTTGCAAAGAATGATTTAATTTGTAACCTTGAATGTTATTGTTCGTGTTTGAAGACATTCAATGATTATAGTGTTTTGTATTAGTTCTGTTAGTTTTTGTTTTGTTGGTTAATATATAATTATGAGTTATTTTTCATAAAAGTTCAAAACTTTGTAACGGGGAAAAATCCCCAATTACCCATTGGGGATCCCCGATACCCATTGGGGATGGGGATGGGGATAAATTTCTAATCCTCGATGGGAATGGGGTCGGGTATGGGGATTCGGGAATGGGGATGGGGAACACAAAACCCAGTTTACCCGTACCCATTGTCATCCCTATCCATATGGGCTTCCCATAGATTTCGTCCAATCCCCTTTCCATTAGGTATCCACAGCCCAATTACAACTATCATATAATTGCAATATCAGTCCCCTTTATTTAATTAATCTATTTTAGTCACAAAACTAATTCTTAATTAATTATTGACTAATATTAATTAAACAATATGATTTCTCCTTTAATATATTATTCTTATAATATTTTAATAAATCATAATTAATTCTCTTTCTCCTAGGTTCATCCTATTAGTTGCTATGATGAAGGCAACCCAAAAGGACCATGCTCATAATCAGGTCAAGTACATACCAAAATAGTTATGGGCTTAGACACCTAATCCAATAATTTGGGCCTCGTTGACGTTGTTTGGGTTGTCCCTTGTCTTTCCTGACCACCCTTGTGTGTGGTCCAATACCCACACACCATTAAGCCCCCAACCTAATTGTTAAACGAGGTTGGCAAACAGTTTTTAATAATTAGGCTTAAATAAGGGCTAAAACGTTTGGATAATGAAGCGTCTGTTGTATATGACATGCCTTGTCGCTTATGTGGCCGCTTGCTTCCTCGATTTGTCAGCAGTTGCTTTTCTTACCGTCTTCTCCTTATAAATGTTTGTCGTATCGGATGGTCTTCCCCCACTACCTTTTTAGCTATCCCTTATGTTCTTTCTCACTTTATTTCCTTCGAAGCAGAAATTGTAATGTTTGTCCCTATAATGCCTTCCCTCACATCAACCGTTACTCACAAACGTCTGGACCATAATGCCATGAATATATCATCTCTTTGAAGAATATGGCGTTGTCATTCCTGGTATGACCACAATCATTGACCATCTTCCGTCTTATAAGATTCGCTTCTATCTATATTACTTCAAAGCCGCTTTACGTGTTCATCCTTCCCATTTCTTTGGTCAAATTACTGAGGCTTATAATATCTATACTTGCTAATTTAAACCTAATTCAATCTCCAAGATTGTTTTCTTTGAGATCCTATGCCACGCCTTCTTGGTTGTTCCCACAATTTATTTGTTCCAATATTTCTTTCGCATCTGTAGTAGTGGCGCTTACTTTTATATCCATTCTAAGAGATATATTTTTATTGAGGGTCTTCCAGAATCAATAAAATGGAGGGAAAATGAATTTACTTGGTTGAAATTATCTAGCTTCTCATATCACAATATACTAAACTTGCCTGGCACCATTAATGATCAAAAATCGGATAGGACTTCAGATTTAGCACAACGTGTAGACAAGATTTCCTTTTTGAACGTTTTGATGAAGAAAATTCCACAGGTTGTATTGGGGCAAGTTGGTATAAGACCTCATTAGATACATATGGGTGCAACTCCTTTACTATATGTTCGAGGGCCAAGTACTCATTTTCCTTTTTTCTATTTTCATTATTTTGCTTGTTATCCCTTTATATATATATATATATATATATATATATATATATATATATATATATATATAACACTCAGTTTCGGATTAGCTTATTTATTTGAGGCTTTAGCCCAATCTTCAGTGGTCATGAGGTTTAGGGCCTTATAAAAGAAAGAATTTGGCCCTTCTTGAGTGTGGGTGTTACGGTTTAAGTGATCCAAGTGTTCGATTATGTCTTTGGAGGCCAAGGGTATAATCGTAATTTGATAACTCAGTCTTTTATAGATTTTGGGTTTTGTTCGGGAGGTTTTAAGGCTTGGTTGTGTTGTTAGAAGTGTAGGGCTTCTCGCCACCTTTCCGTGGATATAAGGTTCGTTGGAAACGAACCTAAGATGAGGAATTTATGACATTGTTGAATATTTTGGAAGAAATGGCCCTTATTGGACAAGGCTTAAGTTTCAGTCCCATGCGTGCATGGCAAAAGGCACATGCATGGGTGTGTACGCCCAACGTAAGCTGGGGGTACGCCCAACGTAATGATCAGAGCGCCAAACCCTAATTTTTAGGGTTTGGGCACTATTTAAGCATCGTTATGATCTCAAGGCTCTTTCATTCTCAGCCTCCATTTCCTTCTAGCCTCATTTCGAAAACCCTAATCTCATTTTGAGTGTTTAAGAGATCTAAGTTTGGTTTTTGG